AAAATGAGCTAGAACCGTGAAGAAGATTTGTGTTCCTAAGGATAAATCAAATCATATTCGCAATATTTCACAATATATAAAAAAATTAAGCAGTGTATCTAAGTATGTAAAATAGATCATGCTAAACAAAGGACTCAAAGCTTCTGAAATATGAGTGATATGGAAGAAGTCAAAGATTTGGAAGACTATTTTAAAAAATTTTCATACTCTTCTGCAAAGAATAACCGTGAAGAATAGTTTGAAAAATACAATTACATTGGTTTTTTGATGAAAGTATAGGAATTTCTATGGATTAGAGATGAGCAAGGTCATTGCCATGAAAGGAAATAACGGAAAGCATTTCAGTTCAAAAACTCCGACATGGAAATGGATGATCTAGTCATTGAAGAATCCCTACAAATCGAAACAACAAATATGATTTGTTCAAAAAATGAAGAACTGGAAGTGAAAGATGTCCTGAGTAATCCAAAAGTGCTAAGAAGAGCACTCTCCGATGTGACTAATAGGTTAGCTTTTGAGCCTTTTTATGGGCACACAGCTTCGGTAGCGGAATTTGTGATTTTTCAGCCCCGGTGTATGTTCGGCGGAGTCACCAAAATCGAGAAAAACATTTTTCGCTAAGCCGCAATTGTTGCGAGCAAATAGCTTGTATAATAATAGAAAAAGAGGTTTGCATGCGAATAGTTTGGAGAATAAGAGGCATAGAATCGATGAGATCGATGAAGAGCATGAGGTAGGGGATTTTTTGCAACTTTTTCTGGAGAAATATTTATTGAATCCATCTTAGAATTCCCCCACATGTTCGGCATCTTCCAAAACTACCACCAGAACTACCACCACCACAACCATCAGAAGAACTTCTGCAATGCTTCGAGTTCAATCTTCTTCTGTTCTTGAGCTCGGTCACCACCTTCCCCAGCTTCTTGATGTGGTCCGTAAATTCACGCGAAGATTCTTCTGCTTCCCTCCAGCTGAAAAATTTTCTTTTTTAGAAATACCACCTGGACACCCTTACCACCAACGATTCTCAAGCTTTTCGCCGCATTGATGCTCAAACACTTTGCCAACTCATGAAATCCATGAGTAGCGAAGAATTTGCTGAGAAGTATGTGCT